ATATACTTGGTGTTTATCTGGTATGATTTAGAGCTAGAATATCCCCCAAAATTCTCATGTGTGTGGAAGGTGAATGCATCATGGGGATCCTACACTCATCAGTGGACTAATCTTCTTCAGATTTGCCTCCAGCCAGTTTTTTGTTTTGTTTTGTTTTGTTTTTTTGTACCAGAGATCAAACTCAGGACCTTGTGCTTGTGAGGCAGGTGGCAGAACCATTGAGCAAAATCCCCAGCCCCCCAGACATGTTTTGATGTGTTCTCATCTTCTGTACTAACTCTCTTGAGAGCCTACCCCTGTCTGACTACTTATATTTCTACCTAACTAAGCTGTCTGTAATACTGAATAGAATTGCCTTATAAACTGGGAAGAAGTTGTGCATAAAGGAATGGTCAGGCATGGCTGTCACACAATCAGCACTGCAACTCCTTGAGAGCCATGAACATGATCCAATAGGAGCAAACTGGAAGATAATAGGAAGTGGGGAGAGGTCCACATGCACATGCTTTACCAAATTACCTATTCATTATTTCAAAAATATTGTTTCATTTATATTACTGGTGTAGAAAATAGCATATTTAGTTAGCTTATGAGTGAGGGAGCTAGCTAAGGGTAGGGTCTGAGATACAGTTGGGAGATCACCCAGAATAATAAGGATTAAAATAAGAATCAACAGTGAACTAGGGCTTTGAACAGGCAGCCTCAGGCAGCCCAGAATGCAGCCCACCCTCTACTAAAGGGAGGTGCAGCCACTTCCTATTAAATTCCTGAGTTTCAAGGAAATTATAATGCAAATTAACCTTTTTTCCCCCCTCTAAAATTCTGTTTCCTTTAAACCCTGCATGTTAAAGAACTGGGTTAGAAGCCTGAGTTCCAATTGGTCATTTTAAACCCACAAAGCAATTTGTGATAGGTAGCCCCTAAACAACTGAGAGATTCAAATGCTCAACTTGTCTAGAATTAGCTCTGATTAAGAGGTCAGCAGCCACTTGGGGACATTCCTAGAAACCTACGAGCTATTCTTCTCATTGCCAATGAAACTCTCCTAACTTCCTCCTTC